TAAACTGAAGTACAATATACAATTTGAGCGTTTACATACTCGCTCAGTGGGCGTGGCAAGATCTAGCCAACCGAGTCAGAGCCCACCGAGCGTAACAGTTAGATTTCCGACACTAGAGTAGTAGGAACAAAGAACCTGAAGGAATTGGACCGTTGTCTCTGTTCATACTATCTTTACATTTATTAATTCTGATGCTTTCATATGCATCTAATTGCCTGTAATTTGAGACTTGTTTAATTAATTTTAAATTATTAAGATCTATACAATATTCTTTATCAACAATATGTTCAGCAACGCAAGATTTATACAGTGGCGGCTCGTCAGGTGCAGTAGGTGAAGGGGCACTTCACCGAAAATATACTCAAATTAAACAAAAAACTTTACTGCTTAAAATATTAATTTAGTTTAATATATTTACATGCATCTAAATAATAAAACATGGTAATTTTTTATAAGTTATTTATTTTTTTCCGAGCGGACCTCTGCATAACAGGTCCACCGCATCGTTAATTCCGGCCGAAAAAGTAACATTATAGGCCCGCACCCGCCTACAAGCCAGAAGTGGAAGTGAAAATGTTTCTATTTCTGAGCCAAGCGGCTGTACGGTTTCCATGGTAACGTGACGTTGGCCTAGCGGCAGATGTAAATCCCCCCGCCCCGAAGTTTATTATCGGGTGAATGTGTTTTTGGTTTTAGGCAGTTCTCTTCGTCTTCCTTTTTTTCAGGAAATGCGTGACGGCGGCGGCGGCGCATAATTTATGCATTTATGCTAATATTCGGCTACTTCGGCGAGTAATTAACCGTGTAAAGACTGTAAAGTTGTTGTTATTTATTGTTTTTTGTTGATTTAATTTGTTAAGTTTTGCCGATTTTTGCTGTTTGTTTTGTTGTTGTGTTTTAAAACTGTTTTGTGTGTGTGTATGTGTTAAAAAATGAACCCAATTAATGACTTGGTGTGCAATTTATTGGAAACTCCCTTCAGACGGTGAACAGATGAAGATAAGAGGGATGTTTTATCTCAAGGGCGACCAACTGACTACGGTCTGACTGAACTGACGGTCTATTTTTCATCTGGTCGGGCCCTAAGGCCCAAGCAAAAATTCGGGCCCTCTTTTCCAATAAAATTCAAAAACTCAAGAAATTATGAATATTTTACAACCTTTAATGGCAATGGCCCCCCAGACCACCGGGCCTTATGGGCCTTATGGTAAAATACGCCCTGCCAACTGAAACTTTAACCATAAATTGCAAAAAAGAAATAAGAAAAAGTGGTAAATCTTATAATATTAAATTTAAGACTTCCTGGTTTTCTGATTTTAATTGGCTATGTAGTAGTATTGTTTTACAAAAATTATTTTGTTGGTCGTGTTTACTATTTTATAATAAACATGACATTTGGAATAAAGAAGGGTTCACTGATTTCGTAAATATAACAAGATCTTTGCATAAACACGGGGATTCTGCAGAACATTTAAAATGTCAGTTAAAGCTAAGAAATTAAAAAAAAATCAAAATACAATAGCCGATGCTTTAGAAAAAAACGTTAGACTCTATAAGCTTAATTTTAACGAAAATGTTCGTTTAAATAGGCTTTAATGTGAATATAATTAATTAATTAAATGACGATATTACTGATAAGTTTGCATCAATAAAGAACAGAAAAATTTGAGCTGATTTACAAAAATTAGTAAGGTTAGTAATATAAATAAGTCGAATTTATTTTGGTTAATATTGCTTAGTAAACATTAATGTAATAATAATTAATGTAATAATTGAATAATAATTAAATGGCTCCTCGGTTGTAACCATAGACTTAAAATAAAATATAGACTACACTATTTACATCTACACGCGGTCAAACAATCATTTTTGTACACATGTTTACTTCTGGGTACACTCGACCGCAGCCGACCAAACCTTCCTCGTCCAGCCTATGTTGTCACGTCTTTAATATTATCAATATTTTTTTACTTATTATACACATATATTGAGATATTAATACTGCATTTTAATAAAGTAGGTTTTAATATTCCATAGATGTATTAAATAGTCCTTATACTACTTTATTATAAGTCGAATACTATGTAAAAAGGATAAATCCTTTACAATATGGCAACACCGATTAGAGGCGAGGTCGCCTATTCATTCTTCTATCACTGCCGTTCTTTAAAAGATCAGCCTGGGGGTGGACTTTTGTTTACTTCATCAGCTGTACATACTTAGATATTGGGTTAGATTCCGTTTCATATTTTGTCGGTTGATTTTTGGTTTTAACTCTATGATTTTTGGTATTATTTATTATTGTAGTGCAAAAAACTAATTATTTTGGTGTTTAAGTGACATAAACTACTAAAATTGAAAAATTACACGTTGTGTAAGTGATTTAACCTAAAAGTGCCCATACATTTTTTACTCATCGTGATTTTTGTGTGTGTTTTTTAAGACTCTAACAATTCATCAATAAAGCTTAAGTGGAGTGTGTTTTTGGTGCTATGCCTCATTTTTGTTGTGTTCCTGGTGGAAAGGATTGTTAGACTAGGCAGCCTAAAGTGTCCGGAAGAGCAAGAAAAGTGGGTACGAGTTATAAATCAAGAGAATTCTATTGAAAATATCTTTAATAAATTTGAAAATAATATTCTCCTATGATAGTATTAATTAAAACTGGACAATTATGTTTATTTCATATTCATATTGTGGAATCTTCACTCCAAGTGTTGTTGGTTCAGCTTCGATAGATTCAAACACGTAAGATAAACATGTAAGCAGGTATTATGATCTACGGAAAAATAAAGAATATGTGTATTAAAGATCATGAAAAAGATTATTATTTTGAGTTCAAATTTTAAAAAAGATTTTTGTAAAGACAAGACTGATACAGTTTAAAAGAAGAATGTGTTTTTGTTTGATAATGTATAATGTATGTCAAGCATAACATATATTAATTTGTTCAGTAATTTTTAATGAATAGTGTTGATTATTTATAATACCAAATTAATATCAAATATTTAAGTGATGGCTGAATACAATATGAATAAAATAACAATAAAATTGGTATATTTGCATAATACAAAATTAAGTTTTAAGAATAAAGGTGTTACTAAAAATACTAAGAAATTCATATTTCTTTGTTTTAATTGGTCTAATGTTATTCACATTTTACGTAAGAATTATACCGTATCATCGAAAAAAATCGGCGTCTAGTTGGCTTGGAAATGAACATCGATGACATTCCCTAAATAACTGTACACATAAAATAATTAACTAGAATTTTACAATCTTGGAAAATTTGATATTCTTGAGCCTTGTTTCTAAATATTCTAAATTTTTTGATTTTCTTGGGGATTTAGGTTCGGGAAAAACGCTGATTAAGTTTTCATTTGGTTTTTCATTATTTTTATTTGGTTTAAAACAAACGTTTCGGCTAACATTTTAGCCTTCATCAGTGTTGTGTCATATGAAAAAAATGGTGTCGAATATAATCCAAAAAATTACATATAAAATATTCACACCACACACAAAATGTTTACTGCGTACTCCATAGTCAATGTAGATAATTTTACTGTTAAGAATAATAATTTTAAAAAATATGTGGTCATCTTTTGATAAGTTTATATTAGTTTATTAATTGCAGTAAACATTATGAGGTGTGAATTATATTGTATATGTAATTTTTTGGATTATATTTGACATTATTTTTCTCATATGACACAACACTGATGAAGGCTATAGTTAGCCGAAACGTTTTTTTAAACCAAATAAAAATAATGAAAATCCAAATGAAAACTTAAATCAGCGTATTTCCAGAACCTAAAAATCCCAAGAAAATAAAAAATTTTAGAATAATTTTACATATAAAATGCCAGATCTTCATTTCATAGCCATCGCTGACGCCTTTTTTTAGATAATATTGTATTATTTGTAAATATAATTTTTCGAACATTGATACTTGCAAAATATACATATAAATTTTGTGAATGCAATAATACATTACTATTAGTAGATATTGAATGTTTTTTGTTAAATTAGATCGATTTTCAAACCCCAAAATTTAAAATATATTTACATTTTACCCATTATCTTATGTACCTATACCAAAGAGTAGATAAGACAAGAGACGACAGTGAACAAAGAAGTCGAATTTCGCGAGAGAGACGCAGATATATTAAAATTTAAAGGTCCCATCAAGTCCCATTTTGTCTGTTGCCAAGTATATTTCTTTGAAAAATAAACAAGATTTTCTGAAAATAAATTAATAATATAAGAAGGATATAAGTAACGTATGTTAATACGGAAATGTAAATTTTTAGTCTAGGTTGGTTTAGGTTCTTTTTTCGCAATATACTGATAATATCAAAGAAACAGAATGACTAACTGTCGTGATCCTGGATTGGACCACCGTCGTCACCAATCTTGTAGTCGCTGCCACCAAATGTTGTAGTTCTCTATTTGACTCGTATCACCACTTGTTGGGAATGTTATTCTTTATTTTTTTATAATTAAATTCTTACTAAGTTGTTATTACTTTTTATTTTTAAACTTTTAATACAAAAATATAAATTTAGCAGTATTACGTCTATGAAAATTTTTATGAATGTCCCCGGTCCCTTCTGTGACCGTGCTTTTATGAGAATGCCCTCTCCGAAAATCCACGGGCGTACCTACTATTTCTTAATAATATTTTCAGGTAGGTTTGCAAAGGGACAAACATGACCATTTCTTAAGTAAATAGAAACCAGACATCGCGTCTGAAAGTAAACGAATTACAAAGGAAAACTAAAAATGATGCAACTTTTATGACTATTTCTTCCAAATTTCATCTTAAGGTAATGGTTCTGTTTATTTGCATCACCCATCTTTCTGAGAAGAATAATAATGTTGATGGTATTTTTCGTACCTTAAATTCTTTAGGCATAGCCGTAGAATAAGGGTAAAAATAATATTTTATACAATTTGTCGAATATACATATACATATAACCATATTAAATGTATGTTCACAACACCTCCCCCCTTAATGAGAGATTTCATGAGGTGAAAGTGATATGAAATCTCAAAACAAATGTTTATATAATTAATTAGTATAACTCAGATGGAAATGAATAAAAGTACATATATAAAAGTATTATACAAGTCTTAACTACTAATTATAACTAACTTACATTCTAACTTAACTAACATTTTTTTTTATAACTATTGCAGATTTAAAAATGTATCAAATGCGGAAATTATTTTTCTTTTAATGGTCGCCTTGATGGTACATACCCAATGGGTCTGCGCGAGGGCGCCTGTAAATTAACATTCTCTTCTTCGGAGTTTTCATAGTTACCTACATTTTCAGAGTTTTGGCTAATATTACGATTATAATGAGCAACATATCTATCACTATTTCTAGAAGATGGTTCCACAGACTGATTAACTCTAATGCATAAGTTTGGAATAATTCCGCAACAGGCTGTCTTGTTAGTACATTTTGTATACAATTTATAAATAATAAAAATAATAGCAAGAAGAGCTAAGATATAGGCAATTACAGATGCTGGAAATGTATAATTGTTTACAAGTTTCCTTTTTAGAATTTCATCACCTAACTTTTCAATATCTTCTAGCTTATGGCTCGCTACATTAAGTTCGGGGATGTGCTTTGTTAATTTCCTATAATGTTCGTTGAGAAATATTTCACTAATGTTTATTTTTTCTTCCTTTATCCTTTCGCAACAATTATCACTAATGTCGAATGGTGGAATAAAATCACTTGAAATATTGGACTGGACTGTATTTCCATGAGGGATTAGCATTGATGATGCGCTATAAGCTTTACATTGTTTACCTATAGTGACACTACCGCAATTTTTTAGTATTACATCTACGTGATTTTTTTTATTATTACATGATATCGTAAGAGTTTCTGGATGAGGAACTGCAAATAACCAAGTGTTACTGGTTTGTAGTTGAATAAAAATTGCTCTATCTGACTGAATTATACGTTTGTCACAGATATCAGGTATGATATTTGTGAATTGCAATAATTTAACTTCGCAATTATCTGCCAAATGAGCAAGAGAAACTGGTTTTTGTTGCTTGCAAATAAATTTATTTTCTATAATTTTTAAACAAGTATTAAATTCTATTTCCGACAGTGTAATAAACTGCTGTTTGCTTTCGTCAATTGCTATATATTTAGATGAGGGTTGAATTAATATAAACTGGTTATTTGACATTAATTTTGGAAAGGGTGATATTTTATAAATATAGAATAAATTTGTTTCAATTAAAGGGATGTTTATAATATATATTAATCGTTTGTTTTCGAAATAAACTTGCAACTCGATAACATTTAGAATGAGATTTGCATTGAGCGGATCTAATGGTACAGGAAATTCTAATCCATGAGGTAGAGATTCGGACACATCTTTTAATTCGTTAATTAACCTTAATGGCGTTAATATTGAGGGGTGTAAAACTCCCTTTCTTGCTACTAAAATAGCATTCGTAATCGTCATGATTTCTAATTGTAATTGATTTAGCATCATATTTAAAATAGTGACGTGTTCTTCTATGCCGGTTTTTATATATAGAAAATGAAAATTTTCTTTGACTTTGCTTAATTCATCGCTAATCTTTTTTATATTATTTTTTAATAAATTTTCGTTAAAATCTAAAGTTCCAATAGTATTATTGAAATTAATTATTGTTGATTGAACAATTTTTGTTTGTTCTTTTAAAAGTTGAAGGACTGAAGTTTCGTCTTTATTCATTTGTGAAATTTTATCATTATAGTATTTAGCATCTTCTTCATCTAAAACGCCGAATAAAACTTTAGTTGCTTTTCCTACAATATTGAACCAACCTCGTTTTTGTCTACTTTCTGATAAATGACTATGACCGATCAATTCGTGTAAGACTTCTAGTTCTTTTTCAATTTTTTCGAAAGTGTATTTAGAACTTTTCAAAAATAACTGACAAATATAATAGTGATATTGAGCATTCTCATTATTGCATAAATCTGTAGTATACTTACGGTAATTCTTTAATGATAATAACTTATTACTAATATTTTCTAATTCTACAAAAGTTACTAGTTTCCATTTGTTATTAAAAAACCTTAGTTCGCCCAGGTGCTCAAAGTGTATTCCAGGGTTCAAGTCATAAGTGGTTATATTGTATTCTGAGTGGACTACTGCTAGGATACTGGTAATTATTATAAATAAATTAACCCTAAAACAAAATATATATACCCGTCATCATCTGGTGAAAACAAAAGCTTCCCTGGAGACTTGCTGCTGCGTCTGGCGCTCCTTCAGTGTCCCCAATGTCTACGTCTCGTGTCGGGCTTCTTGCTGCTTCTTGGTGCACCTTCAAGAACTGCCCGTTGCCTCTATCTTCTTCCAAAAACTGGTAGGTTTTCTGCTGCGTCTGGCGCACCTTCAGGAAACCTTGGTAGTTTTTACCGCTGCCACCAATGTCGTGATCCTGGATTGGACCACCGTCGTCACCAATCTTGTAGTCGCTGCCACCAAATGTTGTAGTTCTCTATTTGACTCGTATCACCACTTGTTGGGAATGTTATTCTTTATTTTTTTATAATTAAATTCTTACTAAGTTGTTATTACTTTTTATTTTTAAACTTTTAATACAAAATATAAATTTAGCAGTATTACGTCTATGAAAAATTTTTATGAATGTCCCCGGTCCCTTCTGTGACCGTGCTTTTATGAGAATGCCCTCTCCGAAAATCCACGGGCGTACCTACTATTTCTTAATAATATTTTCAGGTAGGTTTGCAAAGGGACAAACATGACCATTTCTTAAGTAAATAGAAACCAGACATCGCGTCTGAAAGTAAACGAATTACAAAGGAAAACTAAAATGATGCAACTATTTATGACTATTTCTTCCAAATTTCATCTTAAGGTAATGGTTCTGTTTATTTGCATCACCCATCTTTCTGAGAAGAATAATAATGTTGATGGTATTTTTCGTACCTTAAATTCTTTAGGCATAGCCGTAGAATAAGGGTAAAAATAATATTTTATACAATTTGTCGAATATACATATACATATAACCATATTAAATGTATGTTCACAACATAACTAAGTTGATCGATTTCAAAGATAAACAGATAAAATCTGAAAATCTGACAACGGCGTATTTTATTTATTCTAACCTATGATTTTAGGACGCTAATCAGCTGTGCTAATCAGGTTAAATATAAACAAATCTGATTAGTTGTTTTCTTGCATTTTTGCCTTTTTAAAGTGTGTTTTCAGAGTTTTTCGATATATTATTGTTTTAAGAGTTTTTAAGGTTTAATTTTAGTATCGTTTTTGTTGCCTACTAATTTGTAATTATTGTTAAATATGAATACTGAACAGGACACACGAGTAGCAGGAAAAGACAAGATGGTGGCAATGTGTTTGCTTATAAAGACTGCAAAAATAGGTCTTGTTCTTCGACAAACATAATTCACTCTTTTCCAAAGGACCCTGAAAAGTATTTTTATAGAAATATACTATATAATTATGTTATTAAACTAAATATAATCCATAGATCGAAGACATGGTTAGAAGCTTGTAATATATTTTTACAAAAAAAATTGAGTAATGGTGGGTTCATGCTTTCGATCTTAGCCCTAACACTAACATTAGTCCTAACCCCAAGAATATGAATCAACGTTAACGAACGCTAGCGTTCATGCTCTCATTGTATCGCTCCTAACATTAGCCTTAGTCTTAACAGGTTGGGATATTTTATATTCTTAGGGCTAATGCTAATTCAAAACTGAATCGCGCGTGCTCAAAGCTAGGGGTTTTAAGAATTCTCGAAATAATATCTGACATGTTGAATTTGACGGTTTATAAATATTAATAAATCATATATTTTTTGGTCTAGAAAGTATTAATGTAAAAATTCGTTTCTCTAGTATTAGAAATAATAAAAATAATTGTAAATTTAGGTTAGTTCAAAACATATGTTTTATATGAGCGCAAGCGCTTACGAGAATATTGATTATTTTCTTAAGACAAGTAGGAGAAGTATGAACGGCCTTTCCTTAAGTTCTCAAGGTTAATTTCTTAGGGTTAATGTTAAGGTTAAGGTTAGGGCTAATACTCGAAGTATGAACCCACCTTAACTCTATTTTTTGTACATAAACTCCACATTGTGATATTACACTTGTTCAAGTCAATATGTAAAAAAATACACGTAAATAAAACATTTCTTACAAATCGACTTGGTCACTTTATCTTGTTTACCAACGATATACAAAATATTGCTTTTATTATCTCTATTCCCCGACAAATATGTTTCTAATTATAATTTATTTTATATGATATTTAGAAAACTCATTTTTTTTTCGTTTCTATTTATTTCTTCACCCACACAGTAACTATTTATAAGCTATACAAGCAAGTTTTAATAATAGTCTATTTTAAATTTCCCCCGAAAAAATTACGAAAATTTAAAGCGACAAGCGAGACGAGGTCACTCTCCCCACCACTCAAACATGAAAGGTACCGCGCGAACTGTCGTCTCTTGTCTTATCTACTCTTTGCCTATACATTATTTGTACATTGTAAAACATTTGCTGCATTTGTATGGTTCATAGTTTATTTGCCAAAGTATTTATTACTATAAATAGGTATATATGTTGTAGTTATTAACTGTATATTATGTATATTTCATGTAAACTATATCATTTTTAAAATACAAACCAAAAATCTGAGGAATAATTATGTTTTCCATGTATTCTACAACATATTTATTAATCCGTTATATCTAACTAGCGTGACGTCATAAATCTCACCCGCAGGCTGATCTTTTAATAGAAGGCACTGCTTCTATTATCTTGTAGTACGCGTCGCACGTGTGTAGTAAAGCATTGTTGCCGCTACTTCTCTCTAGCTGAATTATTGCATTTTCTTAGTTTGTAGTCCTTAAATGTTTATTTTATTTACTTTTTGTATTCAAGCACTATAAAATATGGTTCGCCAGTGCCAAATTTGCAAGAAATTTGACTTAAATGATCCATTTGAGTCTCGAAACGACTTTCGACCGGTAGGCAACTCTCAATTTACCAATTCGGAGTCAGTGGCGTTGTTGTAGAAAGGCGCTTATTTAGATAATATTTTAGTAAAATGTAAAATCTGAATTTTTTCTATTACATAATCATTTATATAAAAGTTTTTGTAACAAAATCATAATTATAACCCTGTTATTATACAAGATAAATTATATTAGGCATCGGTTAAAAAATTAATCATGTTTTTATTAAAAATATATTCCAGTTTATCCTAAAACTATCTTCGGAATCTAAAATAACATACAAGAATTTTAAAATGATATTATATTATGAAACAATATTTTTTAATATACCGGGTGCTAGAGATCTGCACGGGCCGGGTAGCCCGAACGGCCCTCAAGCCCGGCCCGGCCCGAATCCGGGCCTCGGGCCGCGTCGGTCTCGAACTGTCAATAGGGGTCGGGCCCCGGGCTGGGCCGGTTCCGCACTTTAAAAAACACAACTTTGCTTCTGTACATGTTCTTGAGACACCTTGTATTATAACAGGTATTTTTAGGCTATGTTTATGTTTAGTTTTTTTTTATTTTGCGTATACATACGTATATTTGTAATTTTATTTTGATCATTTTATTTTAATGGTTCGGGCCGGGCTGGGCCGGGCCGGACTAGTTTAAAGTTTTAACTTTCCACCAACCGGGCCGGGCTTAGAAAACCTACTTCTCTTCTCGAGCCGGGCCGGGTCGGGCTACAAAAAATCGGCCCGTGCAGGTCTCTACCGGGTGCGTCTCAAAAGTCACCCCTATGACTTTCTATTATTTTTTCAGATAAAAAAAACAGATTTGTATGTTAGTATACGACATAAATTAGGATTGACTGACTCATTCAATTGTTTTCGGTCATTTCCTGTTTCACCGGAAATGACTAAAACTTCTGATTTTTAAATGACACCCTCGGTATATTGCTACTTTATTCGATAGAAAATGACACTCTGAATAGAATGACATATCATATGTCAACTTTTGACATTGTCGTATTATAAATTTCAATCCAGGGTGCCACGGCGCCGGCGGTTTTAAAAACACTAAGTTTTAATCAAGGAGCATTAGAAAAATAGTTTTCATCGTCTAATGTTTTTCGTGTCTTGTCTAGGCCGGTTAAAAGATGCACAAATCGTATTTTTAATCATATGTCAATTTTTTTAAACGGAACAAGGGTGACTGATTAGCATATTTCGAAAAAGCATTTTTTTATGAATATATTGATACTTGGTATTTCGAGTCAAATTGTCGTTATGAACCGCGTGTTACAATTTCAATTAAACCTTATGCGAAAATGTCAAAAGTTGACATATGACATGTCATTCTATTCAGAGTGTCATTTTCTCTCGAATAAAGTAGAGATATACCTAGAGGTATATCTCTACTAGAGGTATACACTTTGAGGTGCCATTTAAAAATCAGAAGTTATAGTAATTTCCGGTGAAACAGGAAGTGACCAAAAACAATTGAATGCGTCAATCAATCCTAATTTATGTCATATACTAACATACCAAATCTTGTTTTTTATTAGAAAAAATAAAAAAATTATGAGGGTGAGCCACTTTTGGGACGCAGCCGGTATAATAAAGACAGTACCGGGTTAAATAAATGTAGTTTTCATTTTATTCACTTTCTAAAAGCTTGCTTTAATGAAACAGATCTCTGTTTTCTCTAATTTACATAATAAGACATCACTTACCAGAAGAAAAAAAACAACAATCATGAAGTTTTTTCTCTTTCCATGTCGCCGATTCTGTTATATCTATAGAATAGATCCTGTTTTGATTAATATTAGGGTTGTAAATGTTTGACTAAAATTAATAATTAATTTATTAATTTCAAAAATTAAATAGGTAATTTCGATTATTACATTTTTTTCTATAACATGAATTTTATTATTTTTATCGCTTTTGGACGTTTTTTTCTAAACTTTTATTTAAAAAACCTCTCCTAAATCTTAATAAAATATAAAAGAGTTAAATACGATATATTTTTAATTGAATTATAGCTTCATTAAAATAAAAATATTACCCGGCTATGGTACGGAGAGTTCAGGTGTACTGAGGAACGAAAGACAGTGTTGCATTCCTCGTCAGAGTCATCAGGGAACGACCGTTATGACGGAGACAACCTATCTATCGCTCGTGTCGCACTCGTTAAAGCCTAAAACAATAACAAGACATTGTCTGACCGCATCTTCCAGCTATTTATGAATGAGATGCTCAGTCTATATTTTATTTTGAGTCTATGGTTGTAACCAACAATTTTTTCAATATCGAAATTTCAGTGAAAAAACCGAGGAAAAAACGCTATACCTATGAAAATTACAACCTTATTTCACTGTAATCTCTATTTTGAAAAAAATGTCGGTTACAACGTTTTTCGGGGAAGCCATTCAATAATTACAGTGTTCGCCATAAAGTTAGATCCATATGGACGGTTTTTTTTTGGTATTAGAGTTTAAAAAAAACTTTTTGTGGCTATCAATTCTGCTTTAAAAACAACTTAAAATGCACCAAGTCAAAGTTGAAACATAATTTTGTTACTTTTTTTTAAATAATAATAATTTAACCAATTTTTAAAAATTTCTTCAAAATATTTTGTATTTGACAGCTCCCAGATGTTAGCT